GGGATTTTCCCACAATGATATGAATATGTTTCATGTTTCCAGTGAATTTTACATAGCTTTGCTCCACGATGGTATTCTAATATGAGATGCACTACTGTTTCGAACTCCCCTAGGTCTCATCGCAAACCCAAGTGGGGCTCGGACCTGGATATTTTCTAAACGTTGACCTCCATGCCACATTGCCACAAGTAATCTTAGCACTAGTCAGGTTGAGTCCCCCATGAGGATTCTGGTTAGACCTAGTCGAGGTTGAAGCTATAGTACATCCTGCATGGGAATACGTTTTGGTAGGCAAGGTTATGTAAAATTTATTGGCAACATGAGGCGTACTTAGAGCATCGTGGGAAAATTCAACTATTAGTACTTCATCATCTCAGACGAACTATGGTGGATACAGCTCTTATATAAGATCTATTGGTAGTCTCGAATACGCAATTATATGCAGAAAATAAGTTCCTGTATTTTGCTTACTAATAAGTAACAAAGCAACATTTTCCTAGTTTATTCCCACAACAGTTAAATACTTGGCTTTTATATAAATTACGGGGTCCTTATTCGGTTCATTCATTATCTTCATTCATGCATTCTCTTGATCCAGTGATATGCTTATCTAAAATCCTCACACCAATAACACTCGTTACATAATTGAATAAATCTTATCCGTATGCTTATTTCCTTGAGACATCCTTTCGGCCTGTGACCTGAAAATGTATGCAAGCTAGGTTTTACAAAGATGCTTATATCTGCACATAAATAGGCAAGTTATCATTAGGGTTGAAGCATTTTTTCCCTGTATATTTTTTCAAATGATCTATTTATATGCCTTTTTAACTGCTAAAATCTGCCTTTCAGGGTGGCTTCCGGCAGTATGCTGAATCTGACCTTCCTTTTAATGAAGAAGCTTTTACTCGTGCTCTTAACGATTATCCTACAAAGCGGCTCCAAATTGTCTTGGACAGGATGTTTGACAAAAGGATTCTCAGTCGTCAGAAGTTTACAGATGTAAGCTAATTAGGCAACTTGAATTCAAATTGTTCTATCTATAAGAGAAGCTTTCATTTTACCTTGTTTATTAGAGTTGTATTGGTTATTATTCTTCTGCAATTCATACGGATATGTGGAGCAAGCTATATTTACCTATCCCTATATCTATATTTTTTAATATGAGAGGTATTCACCCTATTTAACTTTATCTCATCTTCGCTTTTTTAATATACTCCAAATGTATGACTCTTCAATTACGATTATTGACGTATAATTACTTTCACCACCAGCTATCTATCTCGTATCCAGGAATTTCTGACTCCAATTGTATTTTTCAATTAGCAATTCAGTTATCTGTTAACTGTTCCCTCACGCCAAATCAAACTGGCTGGATATAATCCCTTAACCCTGTCCATCATATACAGCATACCTATGGACTAATTCATATTACGCGTCAAACACATACTAGAACGTGTGCCTAACCTCATCGAGGACTTCTCTGATATGTGATTTTGTCTATTTAACCTTTTTAGATCCTCTTAGCTTCTCAACCTCCATCACCCAGTTATCTCATTCTTTCACCCTTATTCTTTCTCACCTTTCCTGAAGCACCTTTTTATATCGTTCTTTGGGTCTACTAATGTGAATATCTGCCTTTCAACTTATACACTTCAACTTTAGGTAAACCACATCCCTTGTTCTTTCTTGTTATCTACCATTTAATTCGTACTTATTCCTTAGGTTGCACTTCGCCCAGTTTCACTCATTTACATGGGTTATTGTATGCCCGTTGTATGCCATAGTGCATCTCTATTATTAATTCTGTTTGCTGGGAGCAATTAAAGATTATGATTCCAGTCTCTAAAAATTAAAGTAAATTCGCATATCTTTTTAGAACATATTTTGATGATCGTGACCTTTGCTACATGTCTTTAATGCACCATTCTTTGTCAACTTCATTGAAGCTGTATAGTCTGGTTTGACCTCATTTTCGCAACTTGTTTAGTGCGATAGGGACGCCATATGGAAAATATCAAGTCCTACTTCATGTCACAAAATTTCATGATGTTTTTCATCATCGGACCGTTTACCTTGTACATTCCCATACGTTTTGCCCGCGTCGTAGTCAGCATCGTCAATGAGAGGCGCAATCCTTGGTACATAATTACAACTTATCGTAGTTACAAGTTAAAGCAAACCATTGACCAAATTTCTGTTTCTACAGTTGTGTTATCATTTCTTGCCCTTTTTATATGTCTGCTCTAATGTTGCCAATCTTTCTCTTAACGTCACTTCATATGGCCTATTTACTTAGTCACACAATTCTATGTTCTCGTTTCCTCAAATTTCGCCTAATTGTTTGTCGCTCTCAGTATTTATTTAAGTATAATCGCCTTTACTACCGGTTTTTAATGCCGTTTCCAGGGCCTTTGGATCATTGTTTCTAACTTTCATTTAGCCATCCTTTACTCTGTTTGTCACTTGTTCTCTGCTACACATGAATATTTCTGTCTGACTGACTAAATTATCAAATCCGGCCCCTGTTTACGTCATATTCGAGGATTTGGAAC